AGGCCAGCCAGGGCTGAACAGCAAGGCCGTGGTTCAAAAAGTTAACTGATTAAAAACTAAAAATACTTTTATATTTATTTGCCTACTGTTGTTTCTAAAGTTGTTCAGAAATGGGAAGATGGATACTTTTTACTGAGACTTACTTTTATAGACAAGTCCTAAAACATTAGCTTTGTCATCTTTTCATTAGCACTGATGAAGTAATTTGATCTATGGGATGTAAATAAATATTTTTAAATGGGACAAGTTTTTATAGTTTGCTTTATTTTAAATCTGACAAGTTGGCCCATAGTTACGAGCGGTGGCTGCTCTTGCAGAGGAGCAAGGTTCAGTTCCCAGCACCTACATGGCAGGTAACAACCCTTCATAAATCCACTTCCAAGGTCTGATGCCCTCTTCTGGCTTCCACGGGCATTGCATACATGGGTAAACTTACATTCATGCAGGCAAAACATTCGTACACATAAAATAAAAATTTTTAAAAATTAAGCTGACAAGTTATGCAAGAGTAACCAAGAGAACAGGCTGTAAAAAGTGCACGATCCCAAAGACAGAGAAAAAAAAGAAACAGAGCAGCTCAAGTTCTAGCTCCTTATACCTGGTATTCTAAAGATATCCTAAGCTGACATACAGATTTACATAGAAAATACTTCTTGACAAAGTAATAACCTCCTCACACCCAATTATAAGGTGGTTTAGAGACTCAAGTTGCCATAAAGTCACTGAGGAATGAAGACAAAGATTCAGAAAATGAACAATGGAGTAGCAAATGAGCGGCTTAGCATCTTAACAGAAAATACTAAGGGTGAATCATTTTTTATTGAACTAGTTAAGGTAGTATGTGGCTAAACTCAAAAGCAATGCCATGTTAAGACCTTTGGCAATCACTTGGTATACACTGACCTTTTTGTTTTGAAGGCTGTCTCCAGTATTGACTATATAGACAAGTCACCAGCTAGAGCTGTCCTTTATTGGTCACCTTACTCTCCTCCTGTGATTACCTTTCACCCTGAGAAACATTCAGTGTCTTATTTGGTGATGTTTGCAGGTGTCCATGTAGGCTTTACAGATGTCATACACAGCGCATACTACCTCCACTGCTCGCTGGACACCTTTTCACTGGAATGATTCTGAGTAACCAGAGCGCTGTCGACCATAAATAATGTCTAAGAGGCACTTCTATTAAAGAATGCAGTAGCCATTGGTATGCTTGTGGGTATCTACTTTTGAAATATTTTCCCACATTATGGGTCCCTCCTTTCCAAGCAGAGGTCAGAACTCAATTCCCAGCTTCCATTGTCTGGCAGTGGGATCCAGCGCCCACCAAGCAATTTCGTCCATATAAAACTTCAGTTCAAATGCAAAAACATAAGGATGCAAATGAGAAAATTCATCCTTTTGGTGAGGGAAGTGGCAGAGGCATTCAGCTTTCAGGGGGAAAACTGGGGTGACATACAAGGGCATCCATTTCCCAGCACCACAGGCTATGTTGTCCGCACACTGCTTCACTGGGACAATCCCCAGAAGTATGCTTTGGGTAGTGTTCCTGTTGACCTAACCTGTTTGTTGAGTGCCCTTTAGATTCAATTCCGAAACCTCCAAGAATCCTTTAACATTTTTTTCCCATTTATGTTAACTAGAGAGTGGGTTCTGTCATTTGTAACTAAGACATGTAAATGATATAAAGCAAACAAACAAACAAACCTGGATTAAGTGAATTATGGCTTCATAAAAATGATAGTAAAATAATTATCAGTTCAGTATTAAACTCAACAGCAGCCTAAGGAGAGCCTGCCAAACATGGGTCTATGTTAGAAATTATACAGGAACTAAGGGGAATAGCACAGGATGTGGAATTTAGGAAGCTAGACACATCAGTATTATAACTGCAACAATGCAACAGTATATTGTATATACTTATAAGGGTAAAAATCTGTTCACTGGGTTTAGGGAAAAATCTATCATATTGTTAAAGAAATCTACCATTTATAATGATTAAATGCTTTCTTCTCAGTAAGATGAGAAAAATATTTTCAAATCACGAATCTAACAAAAAATTAATATCCAAAATATATAAAAGGCTTCTCTAACTCAAAACTTTTTTAAATTCCAAAATGGACCAAAAATCTTAGTGGCTTTTTTTCAATTGTCAATAAGCAAATAAAAAGATCCTGGACACCTTTAGTGATAAAAACTATAAATCAAGATCATAATGAAGCATCAATGCATACACGTTAAGATGGCTACTATCAAAAAACTGTGGGATAACAAGAAGACAGTGATGGTAAAAGTGGAACCCTCATGCACTGTAAGGGGCTAAAGCTGTGTAGTTTCTGTGAAATACTGTGGTGATTCCTCAAGGCATTAAGGAGAGCTATAGGTGCAATCAATTCCATTCTTAAACATATATCTGAGAGAATTCAAAGTAAGGATCCAAATAGATACTTATATACCAATATTCAGAGTAGCGTTATTCACAATAGCAAACAGGCTGAAAGGACTTGAGTGTTTATTAACAGATGAATGAATAAACAAAAATTTAAATACTCAGTGATATATTATCTAGCCATAAAGAAAAATGAGGTACAGACATGCACTACAACATAAATGAACTCAAAAACATCACATATATTATTAAAATAAGCCAGACATAAAAGGACATGTTAGGTTATTCCACTTACGAGACTCCTAGATCAATTCATAAAGTAAGGGACCAGTAATCAAAGAAAAGAAGGATGAGGAATTATTGTTTAATCCTGTCTGGGATGATGAAAATGTTTTGGAAACCAATATTGGTGAAGGTTGCATGACATTGTGAATACACTTAATGTTGCTAAACGGTACACTTAAACACAGCTAAAGTGATACATTTTACAATGTGTATATTTAATACAATACAAAATTCCATTACACATTATCTAGAAACAAGCCAAAACTGTGGTTCAATATTCTCTTACTGTTGCTTTTCTTATGATTATTCAGTATGTAGACTCAAGTAAGTTTAGTGGACAGAATCAAAACTATAGCAACAGAACACAGTTAAATGGTCTGATAGACAGACCTAAGTTAGGATACTGGTTCTACACTTATTACAGTCTTAGAACAGGCCCTGACACATAGAGGCCAGCCCTTAATGAAAGTCAAAGTCAGCAGTCACTGTTAGTAGCCTTTCTTAATTAAATAACCACAAGGAAAATAACAATGTGCTTTATTACAGATAAATTTAAAACTCTGGTTCATCAAGCAAATGAGCATTAGAAGACAGACAAATGTGGAAAGAAAAAATATTTGTATAAGGCCTCTCATACGCAGACCTCAACCCAAAAGACGTAGGGAAGGAGGGAAAGCTGCTTTGGGTGGTAAGGACAGCCTCTCTGAGGAGGCCATCTATTAACTAACATAAGAGTGAAAAGACGTTCGAGTAGAAAAGTCTGACTTTGGAACACTCAGAGTGGAAACAACAGCAACAGTAAAGGCCAGAACACAGGAGAAACTCAGAAGGCTGAAAGAACAGAGAAAACCCAGTGGGCCCAGACAAAGAACCATACAGGGCACGGCAGGCAAAAGAGGCAGAATCCAGAACTCACAGACCTGCTAAGATGGGACCATGTTCTAACCATCACCATTGGATGAATTAATCCACATTTCAGAAAGCACATTTAAGGAAAAAGAAAAAACAAAAACAAAAACCATGATTTACACTCAAGGACTTAAGCGCACTGTGTTTGGAAAAAAAAAATAGGAGCACTCTAAAGAGCCAACATTTAACTAGCTGTTATTCATAGCCTATAAGGTACTAAGCAGCCTTAAGATACCAGAAAATGCTAACATTATATATGGTTGTATATATGGTTATATTATATAAGGTTATATATAATAATTATAATTACATAATTATAATTATATAAAAAAAAAAAAGGTCAGCAAACTTAAGAAAAATGCAATATTCTCTGACATAGGACAGAATCAAAATTCAACATCTACTCAAAAAATGCATAGGCTCAATTCATTGGGTATTGTGCATATCTTACTTGGCCTCCTGTTATCCTTGGTGCTAAAAAAAAAAAAAAAAAAAAAAAAAAGGAAGCAGAGAAGGTTCTGTTTTGTGGTTGTCTTAGTAATTCAAGAATAAACACACACACATACACGTTCAAAGTCTGTCACACCATAACCACGTGGCTAGAGTACAGCACCTGGCACAGAACAGGAGCTCATACTGTAAGTATTTTCACTCAGTATCACAAAAAGTGAATCCATTCCAAAGAAACTAAGCTCTAAAATGAAAGAGGGACACAAAAAGGAACAGTGACAGTATAAACAATATTTTTGAATGGTTTCAACGTATCTTTCATGTTACTCTATCTTTAATTCTCGGGATTCCCTTCTGGAAGCTCTGTTTCACAGGTTTAAAAAGGCCAGGAAACGGGGCTTGAAACCAGGAGGCCAACGTTTCTGTACCAAGCAGGGAAGCAATGCTTGAACCCAGTCTTCTAGTATTTCGTGGAGACCTGCGTAAGACATGCTTCTTTCCGCAGACTTGACCGCGTGGTCCTCTCTTACGTTTTCCCTACATCCTAACTAACATCTGCAAACTTCTGTTTTCAACTGCAGTGGTTGTTACCCTGCTCCACACCCTCCGCTCACCCCCTGACTTCCTCAAGGCCTGGGAACAGCAGGCCTACACCTGGGTCTCGGCATTGGCAAAGGCCCTTTCCCGGAACTTTGATCCATTTTCGTTTGACTTTATAGACCCAAGAATCCAACCTCACAAACCAGTACCCAGGCGCCTGGCAGCTCAGGGACAACGCTTGGGGCCTAGGTAAGAGAGCCACTCAGGAGGGGCAGGCGCGGGCGGCCCGCGACGGCGGTTTCCATGGCAACCGAGCGCCACCGCCGCCAGGTCCCGCCTCACAGGGTCCGCCGCTCCGCCCCTTCCCGGGCCGGGTGAGAGACAAGCTGCCCAGAGAGAATCAAAGGAGAAGCTTTCGGTCCGCTCTCACCTCGCAGCGCGTGGTGCATGCCGCCGATGCCGCTGTACAGCTCCAGGACCCGCAGGACTTCCATCCCTTCCCAACCACGAGCGCGGCCTGAAAACTAGGCCTACCGGGCCCTCGCTTCTCCATCCCGTGTCCACGCCGCTCCCTTTGTCTCGAGTTCCGCCGCTTTTTAGTTCCCCGCACCTCCAGTAGGTCTGGGTTAATACTACAGAACCTCTTGCAGCCTCGGGGCTTGCAGGGGTCAGGGAGGGGACAAAGGGCGGAAAACGAAAACAAACCTCCCAGATGAAAAGCAGCCACTCCACTGCCTGATTTATCTTCTTGTTCTCAGTAGCCTTTAGTGAGTGAGAAAGAAACCCAGAGCCAGTAAAAAGGTGAAAACTGCTTGGCTTCGAAGTAAATTACTGATTAGAATCCAGAAAGGCATTTTCCAGGCAGGCTGCTTTTTCTGTTTCTTGGCAGTCTGACTTAAGAATTTCTTCAAAGAAATCAGGGCACATACCCCAAGATTGGGGGTGCGCCTGTGCTGGAATATGGAAGTGAATCTTATCAGGCTCTTTCCTGGAGAAGGTTTCAGAATTACAAATGCTTAGAGCAGGGCCCGGGAGGCACATTAATAATTCTGAGGATGATTGCTGTAAATAGTAGGATTAATTATATTTTAGTTGTTAAATATATGCTCTTAATACCAGTCTTAATAGGACTCTTCATGGGTCCCCAAGTGCTAGGGCCTGTGTTCTCCAATATAGTCCAGGGGTCAAATTGTAGATGGAGATGAACCCCTATGCAGAAACAGGAACAGTCTCTATCCTTTGTTCTTAATATTATTGCCATAAGATTAAGCCTTGTTAGGAGGAATTCGAGGGTATCACTTGTAATAAAACTAACTGATCTGTTAGAAATTTTGGGTACTGACTAATGTAATGTTGTTAAGAAAACTGTCATATATCTGAACGTCAGAACTGATGAATCCATTTTGATGTGATCTATGAAATTACATTGAGGGGAGGGGGCTGGAGAGATGGTTCAGTGGTTAAGAGCACTGGCTACTCTTGCAGGATACGGGAGTTCAGTTCTCAGCACCCACTTGGCTGCTAACAACCCCCCATAACACCAGAAGATCCAGCCCCCTCTTCTGAGGACATTGCATGACACAGGTGCGCTTACATGCATGCAATACACTCATACACATAAAATAATATTTTTAAAGAAATTAATTTTTTTGTCTTTTTGAGACAGGGTCTCCCTGTAGTCCCAGCTGACTTGAACTCACTATATAGACCAGGCTGGCCTTAAAACTCACAGAGATCTGCCTGCCCCTGCCTCCTGAATGCTGGGACTAAAGGCGTGTGCTGCCACACCACCACACCTGGCAAGAAATTAAATTTTTAATTAGCAAATGTGCGTTGGCCTTTACGTGTTCCCCATCTGTCATGCATTTCAGATGGGCAGGGGATATACAATAGGATACTACTAAGCTAGATTTTAGCCTTGGCATTGCCAGTAATTGGTTGTGCCAGATTGAAATAAGCTAGTTTCCTCATTTGTAAAAATATGCAGGAAAGAAGAGGAAGAAAGGATTGCTGAATGCTTTGCAGTTCCAGTGTGCGGTGGTTGAATTAATGTTTGAAAAGACAAATTGATGCTGCTGTCATGGGAGCATCTTCACAATGTGGCCTCAAACCTCCTTTTTTTTTCTTTTACTTGATCTGTCCTATAAAAACTGCTCCGTGGTCCCCAGACATAACTCCTATGCTTATGTTAGTTTTTGCCAACCTGATACAACTAGAGATACACCTGGGAAGAGGGAATTTCAATTGAGGGAAATTTCTCAGTCAGATTGACCTATGAGCATGTCTTTGGGGTATTTTCTTCCTTTTAAAAAATTTTGTCTATTATTTTTATTTTATGTGTACAAATGTATTGCCTGTATGTGTGTAAGTGAACCCCTGTTGGGCAATCCCTGCAGAGGTCAGAAGCAGGTGTTGGATTCCCCTGGAACTGGGGTTACAGTTTCTAGCCACCATGTAGGTGCGAGGAAACAAACTCAGATCCTCTTCAAGAGCAGCCAGTGCTCTTAACTGCTGAACAATTTCTCCAGCCCTCCTGTGGGTTATTTTCTTGATTGCCATTGATGTAGGTTGTCCCAGCCCACTGTGTTTGGTGCCTCCCTGGGCAGGTGGGCCTGGGCAATGTAAGAAAGGTAGCTGTAAGCTGGAGGGATGGCTCAGTGGTTAAGAGCACTAGCTGCTCTTGCAGAAGACCTGGGTTTGAATAACAGCACCCGCATAGTAGCCAACAACTGTCTGTAACTCCAGTTCCAAAGGAATCCAAAGCTCTCTTCCGAAGGCAATGCATGACATGGGTACACTTACATACATGCAGGCCATACATTCATACACATAAAATAAAAATAATAAATAAAAATTATTTTTAAAAAGTTGGGGTTGAGGATTTAGCTCAGTGGTAGAGCGCTAGCCTAGCAAGCGCAAGGCCCTGAATTCGACCCTCAGCTCCGAAAAAAAAATTAAGCTGAGCAAACAGGAAGGAATAAGCCAGTGAGCAGCATTCCTCCATAGTCTCTGTTCAGTTCCTGCCTCCAGGTTCCTGCCTGGTCTTCCCTCAATGATAGATTGTAATTGGGACATAGCCAAATAACCCCTTTCCTCCCCAAGTTGTTTTTTTGGTCAGAGTATTTTTTTTTTTGAATTTTTGCATGTTTCATACAGAACATCTCACTCAACCCTAATCATCTTAAATCACCTTCCCCACTGGCCCCGTCCCATTGCCTCCCCTCAGGGATTCTTATATTCTGTCATTTGTGTTAAGGCCTATTGTTAGTGTCCCAGACGCTCCTCAGTGCAAGTTCACCTACTGAGGTCTAGTCAGTCTGTCTAGAGTCTCTCGCTTTAGGAAGATCAGCTCTTCCTCACCCAGCAGTAATCAGTTGTCAATATTTCTTCAGCTAAGATTTGGGTCAGCTGCCCATTTCCCCAGTTCTATGCTGGGTTTTTGTCTGCTTGAGTTTGCATGGGACTTGTGTATGCTGACACCATTGCTGTAGGTCCATATGAGCAGTGTCCCAGGAGCTTATAGGACTATATTTCCATATGGTCATGCACCTCCTCCCTGGCTCTTATAATCTTTCTACCCCCTCTTCTGCAATGGTCCCTGAGTCCTGGATGGGTGAACTTTAATACAGGAGTCCTGCTTAAGGACCAGCATTCTGCAGACTCAATCTCTACACTTTGGCCATTTGTGACCTTTTGTGTTTCTGGCCCTCTATTGCATGAGGGAGCTTCATTAATGAGAATTGAGATATTCATTAGTGTCCTCTTTACTCCTGTTCCAAGTTCTGTGAAACTTAGGTATAGAGGTTGCATTGTACATGTGCCACTTAGGCTTGGGCAATTCACAGACAATGTCTGTGTGTATTGGTCAGAGTATTTTATTTCAGCAACAGAACCAAACTAGAACACTTGTGGTATTCTTTGCCTTCCCTAGAAATCTTGTCTTCTTCAAGACTTGAATACTTCAAGTAGGACCTACCTTCTAGACTCCCAAGCTAGAACCTCCAGTTTAATTGTTCAGATTCCTGTCCTGCATTGTTTTTTGTTACTGTGATAAACAAATGACTAAAACAACTTGGGAAGGAAAGGATTTATTCTATCTTATAAGTCACAGTCCATCAGGAGCTCAGGATAGGCGCTTGAAGCAAACACCCGGAGGAATGCTGCTTGCTGTCTTGGTTTCTGGTTCATGGTCAGCTTCCTTTTTACACAGCCCAGGCCCACCTGCCCAGGAATGGCCCCACCCTACAATGGCTGTGCCACCCTACACCAATTAAGACAGTCAGGGAAACTTCTTAGTTGAGGCTCCCTAGTCAGATAATTCTATCTTTAGACAAATTGACATCTATAGCTAAATATGACATCTCCCTTATCTGTGGAAATACAGATCTCCTTGCTCTTAAAACTAAATCCATTCCATTCCCTTTGGCCCAGTTTACACCTCATATGAGCCACATCTTCTCTTTTGGTAATATTCCTCTATAGAGTCAATCATGTGTGATAGTTATTTCAAGAATGAAAACCAGGGCCAGCAAGATGGCTTAGAGGGTAAAGAAGCTTGCCACTGAGCATGAGCACCAAAGTTCAATTAACTAATTTTTACCAAATATGGAAACTTTATAATCCTAACTTACAACTATCTTCCTGGAAGCATTTGAACGTTAAGCCACCTAGAGTCCAGACACCGATAGAGAGTGTGTGCTTTGAGAGGCACTGGGGCAGTTTGGGTAGTCTCTGGTACAGACGGTGTGCATCGAGGGGCATTGGGGCGGCTCAGCAGTGATAGCACAACTGGGAGTAGCTGAGAATGCAAGATTAGCAGATAGAGAAAAAAGAAAATATCTTTTTGAAAATATAACCAAATATCAAAGCTTTGACTTTAATGAATTTTCTCTTACAAAGGACAATACATTTGAAAACATTAACACCAAGAAAGTAAGGGCACATATATAAAATATAGCAAAAATAATTAAGGACACAATATACCAGAAGTATATTAAAATAACGATAGCACGCTCAATCACTGAGTTCGTTGTAGCCATTGGGAATTCAATAGTATTTCCATCTTTTTTTTCCTCTTGTTCATCATTAATATTTAGAAAATCAATAAAATCCTCTAAATGCTTACCATACGTTTGGCAGTAATCTTTTGAGTTTCTATGATCCAAGCCAGCCTTTATTCCCCAGTGAAATGTGATTTGGATTCCTATACAGCCTCATCTCTCAAGAGACCATAACTTCCTTATGCCAATCCAGTAACGAACAAGTAGCATTCTGGTGTATACAGACAAAGAATGATTTTTATGAATTGCCTGGGGAAACGAAAAAAGCAACACTTAGAATAAATTGACAGCAAATGTCCACGGGAGAGGAAATTAAATCCAGAAGACATTTAAATGGACAGTCTCCAGAGTTCATCTGCCACTTAAGAGTGCCTGTGCACTAGGATGGGTGTCTACCCTATTCCTCATCCACCAGCATTAGGCCTGGGCTTAAAAGCAGCTAAGGAGCAGTACGCCATAGTTCACACAGTGAGTTGGTTGGTCAAGAGCTTGAATTATTAGAAAACTATTCTTTATGGATACTCAAAATATAGTTGCTTTTAGGGTATCCCTCTGTATTGAC